TCACATTTACTGTTGTCAACGCGGTATTTAGATTCGAGTCGTTTATGATGTTTCCCGGCCCGACCACGTGAGGACACTTTGAAGACGTCAAAGTCACACGCGCTACGGCTCGTGTGGGCATCAATAGCTGTTTTATGATGGTAATCACCCACTGAAATCTGGATAGACTAGGACGTATATGGTTTTTTTTGGCACTAAAACTGTCAAACTGACGTTTGGCTTTATTTATATTCTACTTAGTAGGCCACTGTGTGTGAAGTGTCTTTGTGCATTACTGTACAGAGCAGTGGCTTAGATTAAAGATGCAATTATAGATCCATACAAAGCGACATTTTCCCCGACTTGTATCTCGTTGAGACGTTAATAAGCAAGCGTTCCATTTGTTTGTGTTCATATGAAAGACTGACAGTATCCTATTTAAAGAGGGCAGCACGATTTAATAATCGAATTTCTAGTTGAGGCATCCGAGTGCAGTATTGCTGTGAATGTGGGTCATTGTCGAATTAGCGATAGTTAATTTTCTCCTACAATAAATGGGTATTGCAAGCGTCATTCATAGCAGTGCTTGTCCTCGTAGGGACAGGAATAATTGTGTTTCTGATTATCATTGTCATTTAGTTGGTGATATTGAAGGAGTTGGAAACTGAGAAAAAATACAATTTGTAACTTTTAAAAAATCAAAATTGTTTCTCATCATGTCGAATGTGATTGGTCGATATGCTTGTAAAGATGCATTTGTTTTCAAAGTTTAGTTTTTTACACCTATTCTAAGTGACCAAATGTCTCAGCAGTTGGTTGCGAGTTCACAATCTGGTTTATGGTAGAGGCTAAATCAGCCCATTATCCCTCCGGGGTTCACAAAATAAGTACCACTTTGTGGGGAAGTCAACAGCGGTTACCCTCATGATATACTCACCTCGGCCATAGGAATGTGGAACATTCACCACTGTACACAGGACATAGACACCGACTCATTGCTGACTTGAGCAGGAAATCACTTTGACTTACTTAAGCATAACCACGAGTTGTGGTTACGTTTTCGAACCCTAGGTCGCAATACCGGCTCTTCATTTTCGGTCAGCGCTGCGCCACACTGCAGACAGCGGAGTTCATTGAACTGGCGGCTACGCTCGCAAACCGTCGGCTCGTACACCAAGGCGCCCTCTTGCCTTGGCCACGGAACAGGGAGCAAGCTGTCACATTGTAACCCGAAGCGAGCCTTGATGTTGAGAGAAAAAGAATGAGCGCCACGTTCCAAAAAAAAAACAACCGCGAATCATTCCTCGAGCCGGTCCCAGGGCTCATTAGGAGCAGGCCGAGCCACGACGCGGGGGCGACACGCAGCGAAGACCTTGCGAGACAACCTTTACAGACGGTGCCACACGACGTCCTGACGCGGAGTCATCTTTGTTTCACAGGAGAAGGCTGCGCGTCCCGCAGGCTATTGGTAGCCGCGGGGCGCAGGGCAGTTTGAGTGAACGCGGGCTCTTTAGAGAGTCCACCGTCCGTCGAGGAGTCATTAAATCGGAGCGGTGACGACGTTGAATCGGAATAGCCAAGTTCCTGCAGGTATTGTACTTTCCACTGACATCAGCTTACACTCGCTGGCTTTGAACTTCGAAGTGGCTTTGTGTGTTTTCCCCTCTGCCCATCATGAAAGATGCCATATGATGGACATAACCTTTCCACGGTTGTGGCAAATGATGACCTATACCAGCGGTGCGACACCTTCGGTGTATTTCAGACGAAATCTCATTAAATGTGCATGCACGTTTCATTTAATATTCACGTCCCAGGAGGCCGACACTGTTGTTCTTGCTTACTTTGGACTTTTGCTGTGTAACACTATGCGTCTCGATTCGGCATCTATTTTTGAGACTCGCAAAGCGACCACGATATCCGTTTCATTGCAGTATATATTTAGTACGTTTGCTCAGCATCATCAATCATCATCAGCCATGATCTATCCCCTGCTGGATGATATATGTATCTCTAGGGCAAGTGCGTGAATTGCTGAAGGCAGAGATCGAAGTGATGGAGGCGAGTAACGGGCAGTTTGGGAGTGTTTTTTTATGGAATACCAAACTTATGAAAAGCAATGTCCCAATGTGTGGAAAGAAGAGGGTTTTTTAGTCAGAAAACATGACGTTATGTATGAAATGCATTGACTCTGACATTGTGAACGGAAGGAACGCTGAAGGGTGCACAAAGACGTGTGGAGAGATGCGAGCTGTGGAATAGCAGAGCCATAAAGAGGAGCACATGGAATTGGTAACTCACAACGTTGAGACCAAATTCCTAACATGACGGATGTGTGCATTGTAGTTGCTTTTTGGCTCATCTATTGTAATTCCTAAAAGCCAAACCTTAGTTGAATGGTGTAAAGCATTTGTGTTTGCTGTGCAAAAAGGCATGTGAATCCAAAATATAAATTGTAGCTGTTTTGTTTTTATAATTATTTCAGCAAAATACCGCTCTTTTTCAAAGTCCGCATTACGGTAAAAATGTCAAAAGATTCGCAATTTTATGCTGTGACAATTCTATTATCAGATTCAGAGGTTAACGTTTCCCTATTTTTAAACAGAAAAAATACTCGAATGCACAATCACTATCCACGAATATTGACTCACCAATTACGACCACAAAGTCACTGAATTCTTCTGAAAGTCGAAACTCAGCGATGGCATTGAAGCCCACATTATTGCAGACACGTAAAAAAAATATGAATAACGATGTATCTGCTGACACAAAACACCGTGATAATTGTACCATTTACTAAACTGAATTTGGCGCAGAGGAGAATGTTTTACACGAGGCAACCTGAGCAGACTTTCGCAGTTCGAGAACAGCTGTCTCTTTTCAAAAGTTGTGCCCCCTACACAGAAAGATTTGCAGAAAATGCGAAGAATTTGGCTGGCCCAGTCGACGAGGCATTTCTGGCATCGGCAGTGAATCCTGTCATGTGATCATGACACTTGGTGACATTTTAGTGCTGTGGCTACTCATTCGTTGACAAAAGACGACTTTAACTCACCATAAGTTGGGGAGGGGGGGGTGTTGCAGCAGTTTGGACACTTGAACCCACTAACCAGAGTTCACTAACCAAACCACGTGATGAGCGACATCTGAACCTGATCTTGGGTGCCTTCCCCTGGCCTCGCGACTCTTCACCAACCCACACTGACCAGTGTGGAGAAGTATGGTCAAACGACCACCTCCCCCCACACACACACCCATGAGGAAGCTTTCATCCAGCATCAGTGACTTTACAAGAAAACCCACACCCACGCATTGCAGGGGGGGGGGAGGGGTGACACTCAAAGCTCCGCACAGACGGATTCAATAATCCATGGCTGTTACTTCAGTCTTTTAACCACCTCGCAGTTCGCCCCCAATCAGTCTCCACTACGTGTAGTAATCTTACGCTGCCCTGCCACGGTCGATTCAACATATTTTATCTGGGCGAGACACTGCACGTGTATCCTCCTTGAGGATGACAACTGAAATTGCAGTCCCAGGGATACAAAATATATACCGAAGCAGAGCCAGGGAAATATCCCCCCCCCCCCCCCCCCACATCAATTTTCACCATGTATGAAGCGGATTTTAGCGTGGTAGAATGATGTAAAAAAAAAACTTCCCTTTACACGAAGTCGCTGTCTTATACGTCGGCTTTCGCCACCAATAGCATCATTCATAATATAACCCCTCCACCGCCATCACCCGACAGAACCAATCAAATCAAGTTGTCACGTGGGCAAAAATGCCAATTGATTTGGCTTTTCAGCGAACCACAGAATGTTGAACAGCCCAACGTGCTCTTCTCACGGGATTTGCCCCAACAGTCCGTACGGCCGAATGATCCTCGTATTGGTCCTCAAATGGGCCTCATTTTAAGTTGTGGGGAGCATCACATAGGACCACCGAAGGCAAGGATAGATCAGTCATTCATTGGCAATATTTCCTCATACCGCCCAAGCAGACCTATTGCCACCTCTAAGGGCAGTAGGAAGGCGGTGGGCAATGACACTCGTGCTCCACAGCAGAAGGAGCCTGGGTTCGATTCCTGACTCGGTCACCTTCATGTGTGCAGTGTGTAACGTTTCTCCCCGGTTGTGCATGGGTTTTCTCTGGGTTCTCCGGTTTCCTCTAATGGCTGATCAGCATTGTTCAATACCCCTCCCACCCCCCCAATTAGCACGGTTGGCTACGTACTTTGCGAAAGAGGTTCAGCATACATACAACTCAGGAAAACAGTGTAACTGGTGTTGGCCAAACATCCGAATGATGGGGTGAAAATACCTACAAAATTACTCAATTTTGATTATGCATAGCAGCATCGCCCTCTAACTGCAGAACACTTGTGAGGCTTACCTGGCTGAAATGAAGTGTAATTTCTTTTAATTATTAAATCCAGTCGGATCAGATCATCATCAGTCATACTGTATCCACGACTGGGTGAAGGCCTTCTTCAGTCATTGCCGCCCCCTCAGTCTCATAAAAGTCGGAATCCATCTAGCTGCTGCACGTGGGCTGATCTAATTGCTTCATCTCTACGGTGTTTCAGCTCTCAGGGGTGTTCCCTCCTTCGGCTGCCAGTCCATCATCAGTCTCGGACCGTCCGCGATAGCCTCTTCTCGTGACGTGTCCTGGCCAATTCTAACTTTTGTTGACAGTTAGAAACGATTGTTTGGTCTTAAAAGATTATAAAATTACCACCGTTTCAAGTAAAATAAAAACTGTAACTCACTACCAGTAGCAATTGACGTTCTTTGAATCGTTGATCGCTCGTGTTGCCATCTTTAAACATTTCCACCAATAATCTCATCGCCTTGATCTGCCCCGTGGTGAAGCCTCACCGGACTTTCTTTGTGTGTTCAGTAAAATAATTCGGAGATAACAAACACATTGATTGACACGTCAATAAAATGCAACGTATAAATGATTGAAATAAAAGAGTATATTTTTATAACAATGTTTTTTTTTTTAATATAGTTCGGTACATTATATACATCTACTGAGAAGAGCTGGGCTCGTGTTCACATGAAGCTTTGGATAAGGAGAGGATAAGCGCAGGCAAAGTTTGCGATAGCCACGATAAGCACATTCTAATCACTCGCGAGCCTCCATCGGTCACGCAGTGTTCACTCGATCCCAAAGCACAGGTTTGCCAATGAGTCGTTTAAAAAATGAAGCTTTGCTTTAAAGACCGAGAGAACGAAAACACTGCTCAGTTACCAAACCACCACAGAGCGCAAATGTTGGAAACGTGAGATATCTGTCCAGATTAGCGATGAGATCAACACTCCAACAAAGTTGGTGTTTGCATCATTTATGACCAAAGTATGTGTTTAATACTCTTTGGTTCTTTCGGTAAAGTCACGTAGGTATACATTAAAAGAAATTCAATTAAATCAGTACACTGCTGAATCGGTTCCGCCTGATGACGGTCACTTGTGTTGCGATCGAAACGTCGTGATTTTATTTAATTTATTTTATTTTATGCCAACGTGACTTTACCGAAAAAACCAAAGAGTATGGATCCCTGCAGTCACGAAAACTTCAAATCTATGTGTTTAATATGATTTAGTTTAACATAATTTCAGCTCAATAAAAAAATACTTTCGATCTTTTTATGATTGTTATTATTATTATTGATGAGTTATGTAAAGCCGAATGTGGTTTTGTCGGGTTGGCGTTGGGCGTCGATACATGTGTTTTTTCTTTCAACTCTTTATCAGCAAACTCTCTCCCGTAGGCATCTTCGAACGCAATCCCTGCCGATGGCCAGCCGCAGTAGTGCGTGGCGAAAGCTTCAGAAAAGCAACGCTCAACGCGTTGGCCAACCCGGAAAGGCGCGCTTGGATTTTCAACCGGCAGCTTAAAATTTGCGTGTTGAATAGAGTTACGTAAATAAAACAACAACCAAAAAAGACGTACTTTCGTCGATAAAATAACAATATTTTTTCGCCTAAAATGTTTCCTTCAATTTAAACTTATTTTACTCAATGGTGACCAATGTCCTTGTACCTTTGTGACCACTCACTGCAGAGAAGACCCCCACTCACTTTATGCAATTAACATCAGCGAAAGTGTGTCGAGTTGCATACACAGACCGCCCCCCCCCCCCACTCCGTTTCCCTGTAAAGAAAGTAAAGCGATAGTGCAAATGGTGCGATGATGGCTTGGTTATAGAATAGACTAAACGTGGCTTCCGAGTCGCCCCAGATTATTATTTTAAAAGCAACGAGCGTGGAGCACCTTCCCAAATCAAAGAACGGGGATGAACCAGATTAACATCGGCGGCCACCCTCAGGCAATTGACGAATCGGATCTAGCTCACATCCCCTTCCCCTCCAAAACAAACAAACAAACAAACAAAAAAACACAACAATCTGGTACAAGTCCGAAGCCACGTTTCCACCCCGTTCCTCGTAGAACATCGCTCAGCTGCCCTTTGCGACAACTTCAGGGCTTGCTGCAGTCGTGGAAGCGTCGGCACTTGATGACCTTGAGGTAGGTGACCACTCGGTGGGCATCGTTCTTGAAGCAGCTGAGCAGGTCCTGCCGGTGGTTGCGCAGGAGGCTCTCGTCGACCGGGGGCAGTGCCCCGACCGAGGTGAACTCCAGGGCGGGCTTCCGGCCCTCGCTCATCTGCAGGGGGAGCCAACGAACACAAAGTTATGATATTATCCATAATAGAGGTTTTTTTTTTATCGATTGTGTGTCGGGTGAGTAAACCCACTCAAATTGTAAATGATTGGTGGTTTACTCTCCAAAACACCGGTGTTGCTGAACTCGTAACGAATTGGCACATTTTCTTTACGTGACAAAGCTTCCTAAGTGGCTGTGTCGAGTGGCGGCGGATTTAACGACACATTTAAATGTACGCGATCTAACCCAAAAAAAACTCTTTTCTGGACACAAGGTTTGAACTTCTTTTCACACCGTACGTAGCCAACCGTGCTAATCGGACGTGCGGGGGAAGGACAACAAACTAAACAAAAAGCAATTCTAAACAAATGAGTTTTCAATCTAGATTATTTAAAAGTTGCAAAGCTCCGGTGGCTTCCTAATATCGGAAAGGAGAGCGTTCCAGACGGCTGCAGAAGCACGTCTGAACGTGCACGATGCAGTGACCGTTTTGTTCAATGCCTAGCCAAGTGTCTAAACACATTCCTGCGGAGGGAGCTGGTAGGAACGTTGGGTTGCTCGGTCAATGGCCAGGGTCAACGGCGGCGTGGTGTTTTCCGCAAATATGGCCGACTGTGAGGGTGGGCACAAGCCGGCGTGAGTAGGTTAAACGTTAGTTTTATAAGGGCACCACGGGGTGACCAGTTCCTCCCCACCCAGCCCCACCCCTCCCACACCCCACCCAGCCCCACCCTCCCCACCCGGCCCCTCCCCACCCTCGCCACCCAGCCCATCCCCACCCTCCCCTCTCCACCCAGCCCCACCCCTCTAATTTTGGATGTACGACTGACGGACGGACACAATAATCCCATGTGGGCTGGTGTAACCATGAGGTTCCTACCAGTAAAACCTGTGTTTAGAGTCTTCGGCTGCTCTACATTTCCACCTGTTCAGCCACGTTGCTGAGCTATTGTTTGTGGCCAGGTAGCTTCTGAAAAAGAGCTGCATAGCTCAATGGGCCTTACCTGGTAAAATAAAAATTTGTTTAGTGTTTAAGTTTTATAGTTTGTTTCCTCTATTGTCACTTCATATCATCATCATCGTCATCATCGTCCTCGCTTATGTATGTTGCAGTGATATGAAAAATGAACAGAGATCAATCGCATCAATTCTCATAATGCTAAATAAAATGTTACGTCCATAGGTGGTTCGAATTGACCCACAAAGGGGTACATCTATATTTTGGATGTTGTACAAAAGTATACATTTATAATTATACATTTTAGAACATTTAAACGCATAGCTTCAGTGTACCTATCAGGGAACCAATAATAATAAGCACTGAAAGTTGCCTTTCACAACAGATCTCAAGGCGCCAGAATAATTTGTACAGTGCCCGCCACCAATGACAGTGTCGATATAGATCCTGAGGTTCGTTGTTGATTTGAGAATACAATTTATCCTGCCACAGCTGCAACAACACTCAATATCTTTCCCCAGTGACATCTCATGTTTTTATTTTATCATTACTCTTTCGGAAAGAGCGTGTCACTATAATGGAGAAGTTACTCTAAGTGTGTACCGCGAAATGCTGAATGCTGGAAGGTCAATTCCATTTTTAAAACAACACCTTAAAAGTCTACCCATCTCAGAAAAGGCTCATTAGGTTATTATGCTTTTTGTCACGTAATTTTTTTTGCAATCCAATAGAGAATTATGTTTTAGTTTGAAGTAACAAACATTTTTTGTGCCCTGGAATTGGAGGCGTGTAAATGCATCGCATTTCGTAAGGATGTTGCCTGCTCTTAAAATGTAATGTTGCATTGCATTCGCACCAGAGTTGGCAAAGATCACGCGTTTCTTTCACCCCCCCCCCGCATACAAATTGCACCATAAACGAACGGCGTTGTCCCTCCGCTGATCCTCAGCCCTAAGGGGGGGTTCGGGTTACTTTCCTACAAAATGTAAAACATCTGCTCGTGTCCAGCACGGAAATTGGTCGGGTTTCAATTTGCAATTTGCAAGGAAATGTTTGCCATTATTTTTAACACATCTAAAAACCGCCACTTTTTCCCAAACATTTATTGTTGTGGTTTTCACACCTGATGATGATTGCTTGTGTTGCAGTCGAAACTTCGTTAGAATTTTATTGTTTTATTTTTATTATTATTTCCCTTCTACGTGACTTTACCGAAAGAACCACGAATATGAATCCCTGCAGTCACGAAAGCTTTAAATCGAAATTTGGTATCTAAAATGATAAAGCTCCCCCCCCCCCCATCCACCACTCCCCACCACATTGCCATGTACATTAGGAGCGACCCGATGACCACGACCACACTTCCGATGTTTAAGTAACGCATAGTCGTGGAATGTCCACGACTTCTTCTTCACTTCAACAACAAAATATAACGACAACGCTGGAGTGGCAGCCAAGGAACGGAGCGCATCCGAAAGGTACGACCAGCAAGGAGATGGAGCGACGACATTGACTTGAGTGCAGCCGCTAAAGAGTGGCGCCACGGTGGCGAGATGTTAACTACCTCTCCTTGTATGCAGGAGGTCGTGGGTTCGATCCCACGACCTCCATGGAGTTTGCATGTTCTCCCCGTGGTTGCGTGGATTTCCCTCTGGGTTTTCCCTCCACATTTAGGTGTCCCCGTGATAAGCTATCGACTTCGTTGAGCTATCATTTGTGGTCAGGTCGCTTCTGAAAAAAGAGCTTTACAGCATAGCTCAGTGGGCCTTACCTAATAACAATAATTATTACTAATATAATCTTTACATCGCAATACCGTAAGAGATGACAGTGGTTTGGGGAGACATTCACGCAGCAGTGACTTGACCAAGCTGATAATGACGATGATGCCTGTTGGTGCGCAAAGAAGAATGAACGGATGGATGGATCGATGGTCCCCCCTCTCCTTTCCTTCACCTTTTCCTACTATAAAAAATACGACGATCCCGACCGTTGTCCCTACATATGTCGGGCAGAGTGCCCAAACCACCCTCCCTCTCTCCTGCCCCGTGAGCACCTGGCCTCGGGCGTTTCGTCCGCGTAACATCTGTACCACCTCCCCACCCTCCCCTTAGCCCTCCTGTCCCGGGCTCTTGTTCAATAAAAAGCAAATCAAGAGGAATGAACGGAGGGATGAACGCGCACCGTGGCCACGCCGTCCTGTAGCAGGCGCTGCATCGCTGCGAGCTGCTTCGCGAGCGGGATGGCGTGGGTCCGCAAGAACACGCCGCTCCACGAATCCAGCACCTCCAGAGATATGCGCAGCAGCTCGTCGTCCTGTGGCGGCGCGCGCACACACACACACACGCACACACCAAAGACAAAGATCCCCCGTATAGCCTTCACAGACTGTTGGTGCAAGTGCAGTTAGCGAGCACCTGTGAAGGCTGACACGGTTGCACGAGGGGGTGGGTGGCCAGAAAGGCGCCCGACTACCGCGATGTTTCTTTTCACACACCGCATCAGCTGCTCATTTGAGGCTGAGTCGACCTAGGGGAGGCCCAGGACCGACTCAAATAACCGCCACTGGTGTTGGCCGTGAGCAGGAATCGAACTCGGGTCACCAGGTTCGTAGCGCAGCGTGCTAACTGCTCCATTCCCGCTCCCTACACACCAGAGGTCGCAAACGGGTTTTGATTCCTCACCCGTACCCGGCCGCACCAGGGTCGCAAATGGCTACCCGTACCCGTAGCCGGGTATCGGGTAGGGTACGGGTATCGGGTACCCGGTTGCGGCCTCTGCCACACACAGACTTCCCATCGTTCGGCTACGTGAAAATCGCTTGGATATATTGAGAAGTAAATGAAATAAAAATGTTTTCGGCTCCAATTATATTTTTTTAATAAAATATATTTGCGAGATCCTGATCGATGTTGTCGTTGGTGGTGGTGGCTTGGTGGGAGCCTTCATTCAGCCGTGGATTGACGATGACGGCGACTGGTTTCACAGGTGCGGTGCGTGAAATCCCAGAAATCGCCACGTCCGCTCACCAACACTCGGCATACTCGTCGACGACGCTGCCTTCAAACGAGTCGTGAGTGGCGACGTTTCGGGCAATGGCCCTTCTTCGGAGCACATACACCGAGACGATTGGCCATAGCACCCGAAACATGACGAGTAGACAGAGTTTGTGTTGTCGTTAATTGAGCATGTGCACTACCGCCGACGCAGCCCATAATGTGTTTTTTTCCCCATGACTTGAATTCGCATTATGGCTGGTGATGGTAACGCGTTCAGCCTGAGTGCTGTCGAAACTACTCTAAAAGTTAATTAACAATTGGTCGTATTAATGTACTCAGATGATGATTGATTACATTGCCTAAGAATGTATTATTTAAAGTGTATTACTTGGCTCCTGTGTTCTGCCGTCAGTCTCATGAAATCTCAACACATCGATTGGTCAATAACACTATAGCCTTAAAAGTAAAATATATATAGAATAGGCAAAGTGTTATTGATGAATGTGTTGAGATTGTTGTTGTTACTTGTGCTGCCAACGCAGCAGAGTAACCAACACCAACTCATTGTTTAAACCCATTTACCGGATGTGACTCTGCAAAACGTTTCAGTGCGTACAAGCCCATACATATTTATTCAAACGCCGGTTGCGAAGTTTCCCTTTTTTCCCAGCCGTCTAATCAAGCGCGCTACGTGCAAAAAGTGAACATTGAACGCGCGACAATTTATTTCGCCGCGACTAGCAAGATGAAGAGAGCCGATCGCGGTGGCTCAGATTTACTTTTGCATTCCGCACGTTCAGCGCCAGTGCCCTTGTGACACGGAGCGTGGCTCCGCCCGGTCACCAATAGGGCCCCACTGTCTGTGATGTTATCTCCCTCGCCTGGCATGCAGGGGTTCGACCCCCGACCCTAACGTCTGCTGTATATTTCGAGATTGTATGTTCTCCCCGTGGTCGCGTGGATTATTTAGATTATATTTGGCTGCTATAAACTTACACCTGATAATTCACTTTGTTGAGATATCATTTGTGGCCAGGTCGCTTTAAAAAAAAATCTAATAGCTTAGTAGGCTTTACCTGGTAAGAAAAAAAACATTACGTTTTATTTATCTTTATTTCTAAGTGATTTGCTTACCTTTCCTAAACTTTGCACTCAAATCGTGTTTTTGTATCGTCGGTTGTAACGTTCTGACCCGGCCTCTTACTGGACATCTGTGAAAAAAAGTGCGTTCTAGCTCATCGGATTCCTCCAGTAATAAATAAATATTCCGTTCCTCGTGAATCATCACCGATTTTGCTCGGGCTCCGTGTCACGTGCCTGCGGATTGCAGTGCATCTGCACCACCCCAAGGTCCTGTGTCAGACGCCTGCCGCCTGCCACCCCCACCCCGCGGCACTGTGATTGCAAATAACGTCCGTGCGAGCGAAATTTACGCTCCGCCACCACGAATTCGCATGGCAAAAAAGCAAGACAGCCTCAAGCAGGGCTTCCCAAACTCCAGTTCACGCGATCACCCTCCCCTCCCACCACCCTGGCAACCGCTCTACGTCCTTCCACATTCACCAATTAACTTGCTTGTACCACATTCAAATACAAATTGCCTCGTTTCCACGCTGCACACGCCCGATGATTGCCAAACACGTGTCGCGTGACGCGCGAAGCAACTAACGCTGTCCGCGTTAATAGAGCCCATTCACATTAACATTGAGATCTAAGCATGCGCGTGTGCGCGCGCGGGTTCTAAGTGAAGCAGAAGATTAGTCCCTGGACAGAGCCACATTTGCCAATGTGATTTGTTATTTAAATCCTTAACTGCGTATCGATATTCTTTGGGTCTTTCGGTCAAGTCACGTAGATAGAAACAAAAATAACAATAAAGTAATATAAATAAAACTATACATTTTCATTTTTATTATTTTATTGTTATTTTTTTTTCCTATCTACGTGACTTCTATATGAATTCCTGCAATCACGAAAGCTTTAAGTCAATGTGTATCGATAGTTCAATGTGAATGCGCAATTTTATTGAGGCGTGGTCTGGGACTGTTTTGCTGTTCTTTTTACTGCCTTGCCGAAGCTTGATAAAATTGTACTTATATCATTATTTATTATATATTAATATTTAATGATTTGCTTACCATTTTTCTCTATATTTCACTTATATCGTTTTGTTTGTATTGGTTGTTGTTGTTGTAACTTGCTGACCCCGCCCATGCTGGATATCTGTGAAAGAGAGCTGCATAAGCTCATGGGGATTCCTCCTCCTGCAGCCTCAATACATATTCTGCTTCAATACGTGGAGTCCAAGTACACAACAAGTTACTATCCCCCCCCCCCACTCCTCAAATTGGTTGCGTTTTATGGAACGTGGAGCTGCGATTGGCGTTCACTCGAGAACGATGAAATCTTTCAACTGTACGTGACTTTACCGAAAAAAACCTAAGAATATGGAAATGACCGCCGTGATCTCTCCAATGCAGTCAAATGTCACGGTCAGGCTTCTCTTCATTCCATCGCTCTTTGCGCTTTAGGTACCACGATCATCTGTGTGATAATTGGACGGTAGGATTTTTTGCTTTTCGTCAACGAATCTATCAAAACCAGCTGTATAGGCCGCATTAGGCGAAGGAGACGTATGATTTGTTTACATATGCTTTGAGAGCTTGGCTTTCAATATGAAATGGCTTTTCATTACGTTAATTAGACTAAGAGGGATGTTTATTTTTTACATCCGAATTGGAGTTTTGGTCTGTCACGGATTTCTTCTCCGAATTGGATAAACTTCATGCCTATTGATTTCCTTCTCAATTAGATTTAATTGAAAGAAGAAAACCCTTACCTCGTTAGCCATTGCCATCCAGGGGATAAACTTAATTACGTCTTTTTTTAGAGGTGGCTCATGATGGATGAAACATCACAAATAAAGCCATATTAAATTAAAGCGCGCAGTCCGCGCCACGAACGGACTCCTCGGAATGCGCCCAACGTTCATCATCTCCGAAAGGTTTCGCAAAAGCGCAGCTTGGAAGGTCAGCCGTGGCAGCCAAAGAGGGGGGCCGTTCAGCTCATAAGGTCATTGTCTTCCGCACCCTCAACGCGCACGACCTTACAAGATGAATGAACTACGCCCATTATCATCTCATCCTCATCTGTGAGTGTCCGGACACTCTGCAGTAGAACTAAACCTTGAGTTTTATAAGGGCACCACGGGGTGACCAGCCCCTCCCCACCCAGCCCCACCCCTCCCACCCCCCACCCAGCCCCACCCTCCCCACCCACCCCTCCCCACCCAGCCCCACCCCTCCCACCCCCCACCCAGCCCCTCTCCACCCTCCCCTCTCCACACAGCCCCACCCCTCTCATTTTTGGATGCATGACGGATGGATGGACGGACACAATAATCCCCTGTGGGCTGGTGTAACCAGGAGGTTCCTACCGGTATAACGCACTACTTTGTGGGGAAGTCAACAGCAGTCGTCCTATGGACCGACTCACCTCCGTTGTATGAGCGTGGAATTTCCAACATTGGCTCAGGGCTGTAAATGACACGAGCACCTGTTTTAACGCTCATTTGAGAAGGAAATCACCTTGACCGCGGTTGTCTTTAAACAAACACACGAACTGTAATCACGTGTTTTTTTGACTGTACAATATATCGCAAAAGCGGCGCTGCGTCAGAACCTCAGCGCTGGTGGTTGTGGGGGCTCCACCTGGGTGTGCGTCGCCACTCGCTCTGCGTGCGTGCGAGCGTGCTAGAACTCGTCCAAAAATGATCGGTGCAACTCGCTCACACACCGTCTTATGTAGGACCTCGTCCTTCTTGCTGGGCGCCTGCCAGCTGGCTGGGTGACACGACATCACCACGTTGGGAGGGCTCCAAGGTGCCACGCGCGGGGGCTCTCCGTTGTAGGGCTTCTCCTGCTGACGTGAGGAAATACAACGGAGTCAATCGAAATGTCCCATCGGCATTGCAATCATCATCATCAGCAGCATCGTCACCTTCATCGTCGTACGTCTTCAGATGCAGTCGCATTCAATTGTGGCCACCATCGTAAAAGTAATGTTTAAGAAGAAGGCGAATGTACAGCCCTTTGATCAATGTACTGTCGGATGAAGAGCTCCCCACACCGTGTTCGATCGTGGGAGATGTTTGACCATACTTCACCACACTCTGGCCAACGCAGCTTGGAGAAGCGGGAGTCCTGGACCAGTTCATACATCACTCGCCACTAATTTTAAACTTAGCTGGGAATTTAACTCAACAAGTTCGTACAGCGGTGAGCCAAACAGTTTTGTCTCAGCCTCCACCCACAAAAAAAACTTATTATATAATTCTGAAAAATAGTATTCTTACTCGAGTTCTACCCTAACCTTAGCCGAGCTGAACTCGCTAGCATCAGCTGCTATCAATGTGCCCACTGACCAAGTACACAGGCAGATTTGTACTGGCACGAGGCAAACTGCATGGCTGTCAAAGTTAGTTTATCCTTTCCCTTTCGCCTAACCCTGACTTACAAAATCTAAGGAAACCCACACGGCCTTTTGTTCAGCCACGAGGTATGGACTCTGTGAAATGCGACTTTTGTGAAGGATTATACACACACATCATTTTATTCCTTGGATAATGTACTTCTAAACGTTGAAGGACAAAAAGGTTATGTTGCATGCGTTCGGTATTACAACAATGCATAAAATGCACACTGATGTCGTGAAATCATTTGTATTCCAGACTCTTTGATAACGGCCCTGCATCGGTAAATATTATTAATTTCATCATGAATAAGGAGTGGATCTGCATTATATAATGATGATAATCATACAAATTTACAACCATTGTCATTTCACGTTCCCATGCTGGTTAGTAGGGGTTATTCAAATTGGGCGGGGGTGGAGGAGCAGAACAAAATTATACATAACGCGACACTGATTTTAGCTCGGAATCAACATACGTTGCACGTATGTATGTTAACTTCCTTCGCACCGTACGTATCCAACCGTGCTAATCGGAGGTGCGTGGCGATAACCACTGCGCCACCACTCCACTTCTATTACTCTGTGATATTATAAAAACAAGTTTTGCTGGCTGGCTGCCTGCCTGGCTACGCGCCGCCCAGCGCACCCTCTTCTCGCTCGCTGGAGGACAAAAACCGTCCAGCGCGCAGATGGGAGTGGGCGCGCAGGTAGCGGCACGTGGGTGGGTAGGGGGGGGGGTATCGAGGGAAGTGCGGGTGGGGGGGGCGCGTAGGGGGGGGGGGGTCCTGAGAGGTGAGGGGGTAGAGACTTTGGGGATGGGTTAGGATCGTCGTTTAACGACGGGTACTTTCATACACCGGTATATTTTATATACAACGACAGCAAAAAATTGCTGGCTCAATGAACGGACGGTCACTTCAAAAGCAGGTGCGGGTTGCTAGTTATTTTCCACGCCGGTGCATTATAACAAAATGCAAATTGTTAAGTCCGCACATGCAGCGGTGGATCTCAGAGAATTCCTGTTAAATTGGAGCTACGCACCGAGTTCGACGCGTTCAGAAAATGGCATCGCACCCTCAGGGGCAATTAGCCGACATTTTAATGGACATTCCAGCGCCCGCATGACTGCGTATATAAATGCAAAGCAGCAATGCTCAGGAGCTGCCTCTTTTCATCGCCGACACTGATTGGGTTGCATCGGGACCAATCGCAGAACCCCCCCCCCCCCACGCTTATCATATCTTCCAGGAGCAGCGCCTTTCCTAATTATCTTGGTTCCCCAAGGTGGGAAGGAATGGTAAAGCCCCCCCCCCCCCTCTCGAAATCTGAAAGATACAGCAAGCGCATCGATTGCGTTCTTTGCAAGCAGGTGCGCGCGTGCCAGAGCTAACAGGATAAAAAAAAAACCTAAAGCAGCAACCACAAGCCGGCATTAACAGAGCCTCACTTATTTCGGGGTATTCCGACTATGCAATAAAATAGTACCTGTAATGACGCGTATTATTTATTAAATAGCAAGTACTTTATTCTATTGCAACTATTGCTTAAACGATATATATTAGGTATTCTTTGGGTCTTTCGGTAAAGCCACGTAGATGGAAAAAATAATACAAAATATCACGAAGTTTCGATCGCAACGCAAACAATCGTCACCAGGTGATTGTTTGCGTTGCGATCGAAACGTCGTGATATTTTTATTATTTTTTCTATCTACGTGGCTTTATCGAAAGACCCGAAGAATATTAATTCCTGCAGTCACGAAAGCTTTAAGTCAAGATATATATATAGGCCTGCTGTGTAAAATATTTAACAGCAATAGGTTTTAAGGATTGTTGAGGTTTTGACCTTGGACACAATGAACGGAGCTATTATTTTCCCGGCACAGCAATACGCAATCTATCCGCTCACTTTGGAAACCCAAAAAAAAAAAACTCCGTTAATGTGACTTGCCAATCACAGAGAATGGTTCGGGGGGGGTGGGGGGGGTTCGGCATAATACATATCGTGTCAACAAGCCCACTGCTGGAAATGTGTCACATTCAAGTTCGGTTGTGGGTGGGTCTGCCGAAAAGTTAAGTACTCCGGTCAGCGCCCGCCCAATTCCCGGATCTCCAAACGGAACGTCTCGGTCTCTCGGCGGCGATGGGTGAAGAGCAGTGGTGGTGTTTCGTCGAGGTTCGCCTACCAGCTCGGCGTACGCTTGGCTGGACAGGTGGTAGACGAACTCGGCTATGGGGATGGCCAGGTTGAGGTCACGGAGAGGGTCATTTTCCCGCGCGGCAGGACGACCCCACGCGTCTCTGGCCAGCACCGACATGACGAGCAGCAGCTGCGCGAGAGAGCCTGGGCGTGCACGGGAAAGAAGACGCGGCAAACGAGGGCGCACTGTGATGAAACACGCTCGACAATTCGAACGCAGTCTTCTTCAAAAACACTCTCCAGCCTCAATCGTCGGCTCCCCCCGCCTCCGCTCCCAAAGGCCCAGATGTTGATGCCATCTGGTGCAGAGTTAATTGTGGGCGACTGCCGCGTAAAGACCAATGAAGCACACGTGCATTCGCGCTGCAGAGACAATGTCCCAACTAATTTCGCAGATTGAATCTGGCAATAAACGGGTATTGTGTGCCGCCACGAACGGTGAAGACGCACAAAAAGACAAAGATCCCCCGTATAGCCAGAACAAACCGTTGTGGCAAATGCTGTTAGCGAGGAGCACCTATGGAGGCCTGAACGGCACACGAGAGGATAGGTGGCCACCACCACGCCAGGCCGCCTTTGTCTCCCACATACACGCACACACGTTCGTGTGTAAACCCTCACCGAGTCTCCGTTAGGAAGTATGGGATAAATAACTCGGCTTCCTCGAATCGAAATGTATCCGAATTAATTTAGTCCAGTCTATCTTACCGAATAACGCACTATTATTTTACGCTTACGTCCTGATTATAACTGCCTGTGATTTGATGCACATGCCACGTGTACATTCTTTTTGATAGCTTCCGAGATTTATGAACTCGATACAATACAAAATACGTGTATTTTTTATAAATCCTACTGGCGACTACAATAGGATTTTGGAAGACGGGATGGATACGTTTGTATCGGTTGAACTGATATTTCTAAAACAACTTTTTTTTAAATAGGATTAAATGGCAAAGCAATAAAGTTAATTGGGAACCCCAATATATTTCGCTGTTGCTTCTTCCTCATTGTAAAACGGCAATTGTGTTAGAACTCCAGAAAAAATTGCAGACTTTTTTGCCACGACCTGACAGTTTGTTCATCCGTCAACGATTAATGAACGGAAAATAAGCTAATTGCGAATTCGCTATCAACGGACACGTCCACGTGCGATAACACGTGTGTATGTAACCGGTTATTTAATAGACACGTTGAAATGTAACGTCATTACATCGTATGGGTAATGATAGCCACGTCATATGTATATATATCTGAGGTATCTGTGGCGGCTACTGCAATTTAATCACGGCAAATGTTAACATTTACAAGCGTCACGCTGTTTCTGTTACATTCACAAAATTAAGACACGTACATACACATAGAGGCACATGTACACACACACACAAGACAAATACCCCTCTCATAGCTTAAATATACTTTTGGGGCAAGCGCTGTTAGTGAGCACCTATGAAGGTGGGCAAGGCACGTGACGGGATGGGTGGCCAGCACCACGCCCGCTCGCCTTTGTCTCCCAAGTGGCAATGATTACACACCACAACAAGTACTCATTTGAGGCTGAGTAAACCTAGGGGAGGCCCAGGACCGGTTCGGGACCGGTTATTAAGCACCTGTAAAGCTTGGCGCACAAAGACAAAGACATATACACAGACGCACACAACGTATATGTCCTATAGCCCACGCAGACTATTACTGTCGAACAATATCCGCAGAGAGGGGGACGGGGGCATTCAGTACCTCCTTTCATTGTAGAAGTAAAAAATGTAGTCTTATAACAAAAAGTTGGCTTTTGGCTTAGAGTGTCTGAGCTTCTGACAAAACAGGCAAAGCAATATCCCAAGTCCAAACACTGGCTGCTCCACACTTTGAGGAAACCACGATGCCTTCTAAAGCCAAGAGGGCCAACGTCGGCTTGTTATAAAGGATGCGAGGGCTGTTGAATATTCGCAGGGTCGCAGGCGCAATCGTTACGGTGCCTCCACCGTTTCGTGGAAACATTGTGAAGGGCGATGCCTTTATTCAAGCAAACGTGTTTTTGTTTTCACGGGCACCGCGGCTCATGCATGGTTGATATCTGAGAGCGTCTTCTATGCTCGTCGTATGTCCGGGCGTGAAAGTTGCTCTGCCGTGGAGGTTTTGCATTGCACTAAAAGTATTTTTTAGAGTATGTGGTGGGTTTTTTTTTTATTTCTATTCCGCAGTGTTCCCTTGTGCAAAATAGACGCGGTTTGTCTTGTTGGGTTTTTCACCGCGATATAAATACGGGCAGGCGTTCCATTTAATCCATTCATTTATACAGAAATACGAATTCTAAGCGTAATAAAGTGTAATTGCAAGGCATTTTACCTTAACCCAGTACATGCGTGGCATTGTTGGCCATGCGTAAAATTGCTTTTGGACATTTACAATGACATCCTCATCTTACGTAATTGTGCGTGTGTGGTGTATTAAAAAATGCTGTCGATTGTTTTCCTTCTTTTTTTTCCAGATGACCCTTGCCGAGTTCGGAATAATGACGTCACGGTCGAGATTCGGTGTCAATCAGTTGGCCGGGTGCACGCATTTCGTTAGCCAAGACGACGCGTGGCTCACAGCGACAGAGCGTCAATCGGGCTCTTCCCCTGTTACATTCACAAATACGCAGAGCGCGTGTAAATAAGCCGCCTCATGTATGCGGCACCTACGTGCGTAGCTACCCAATGACGTGACGTGCCTTTTAAAGCCATACTTTAAACATCAGCAAGGTGAGTAAATGTGATTCAAATTTATTTTTTTTGTTGCGCCCTATACGAAGCAACCGACAATGGCTCGGAGGTAAATACGCATCCTCTGGGCAAGCAAGCAGCGTTGAGGCAAGACACTTCCGAGCGAGGAAGGGCATTTCGCCGTGAGTTTATCATGCATTGCGTCCTTCCTCATCCCGAGTGACAAAGAAAAAAAGCCTCTCAACTAAGCTCTCGTGACGGCGCAGCAAAAAAAAAACATCCACCGCATCGCCCCGCAGAAAGTCGTAAATTACCACCACTACTGGCGCCTTGCGTATTGCTGGAGCAATTTACATAGCGCGATAATAGAGTTTAGATTTATACATCATCATCAGCATCAACAACACACACACACACACAATGAATGGGTTATTAAGGAGCCCACATAGCCAATGCGTTCTCCTTTAGCGCTCAGCCGGGTTTTTTAAAAATCCTTTATATTAAGTTCACTTGCTTGCTTGCGCGCTTACGACCGTGCAAATCTTTCGGTCGTTTTTTTACATCACTTCCCGTGATCCAATCGAGCTGAAATTTTGCACAGAGACTCGTTGTGCGTGACAATTAATTTTCGTGAAAAATGTTTTCCAAAATTTTACACTTTTTAGGGAAAAAAAATTATATGTAATTACCAATTGCTTAATGCTGGCAGGCAATCATCTGACCCATAGGTGGCAGCCATCTCAAGCCAGAGGACGAGATGACTCTAGCCGCCACGCATATAAAGGATTTATAGTGAAAAACTTTGTTTTTACGGGTTAATTTTTTTTCCGCTCGGACTCGCTGTCGTGTGGCCCTCGGCACTGTTGGGAAGGGGGCTGGCTCGCCGCAGGACGTCAGAGCCCATTTAGCGAGCAATGTTCTTATTCTATACACGGCCGAGACTGCCAAACCGATAGCCACGAGTTACACACTGTTTCGCCTTCCAGTTATCAGGGCTGGAAGTAGAGGTATGGAATGGGAGAGACGTAACAAAAGCCACCTCTCCATCTCTACGTTTTCGGTCTTTCACAAATAGGGCCTTTTTTTCTTTTTACAAATCGCCCGTAATTCGTCCAAAGGTGTCAGCTCGCGTCAGACAAGCGGGGTCGAGCCTGCAGATTGCTGGATGGGTGACCGCAACTGTGCTCGAAAGACAGATGCAATGGGCGCAGCGGGCACGGTGCAGCGAAGGCTAATGTTCTTCTTCTCTCGTACGGCTGCTGATGTAAATGCGAAGCCAACAACTACAATTTCACATTTAGGTGGTCAAGCCAGACAGGCGTCAGGGGTAGCCGAGCGTATCATCGCTGTGCTGTCTCCCTCGTATTTGTGGATCGTGCATTGTTAGACGTTGTCCCGTCTGTTATGGTTTGACCGCAGTCGCAAACTGCTGGAGAATTTGTACGTTTCCAATCGTGCATCAGATATATCCGCGTCTGCTGCGATGGTTTTGTGCGGATGCGGTTTAGGGTTGACCGTGAGCTTCGTGGATGGTCAAACCCAGGACATCCTCTGTCAATGTCAACCCGCATTGACCCGGTGCGCGAGAGTTTGGTCAAATGTACGCCCCGCCACGGTTAGCAATGACAAATCCGGGCTGCGACGTAACAAATATGCCGCTGTGTACCACGGGGACATCGTTGCGACAAAGTAAATCAGAGTCTGTTGTTCCGCCAGCCGCTGCCCGTCGCCTTTGAGCGTGCGGGGGTATTCATTCGCTAATTGTCGTGCGATCTTTCGTGGGCCCAATCGACCGCTCCTCGGGTCGTTAACTAGTAATTAGCCAGCTCGTTTAAAATTCTGCGCGAGTCATTTCGCTGAATGTGCTATTTACGCCCCAAAAATTCGGATGCAATCTCATTAATTGGCTAAACGGCCGTGCGTTTGTGATATTTCCGCTTTGTCTCAGATCGAGGTACTTAAAATAAAGCAGTGGCAAATTGAAGCGACACATATTGTATGAGTGTGCAACACATTGGCTAATGCCTATGGCATCGCGGACAAAACAGTAATGGAGCAACCGTGCGATTGCGTGCTCAGGCTACTGCTGGTGGAAGGGCATCGGCTCGAGGATATTTGGCCTACTCTTCCACGACGGCCAAGCGGTCTAGGAAGATGTGGAATTACCCAAACCTTACCTCACCAGGATGGGGGGCGGGGTGCGAGGGACTGATTCAAGAAACGTTCCGATAGATTCCACTGCCGTACCCCAGGAGATCAAATACAAGCGACGGTCTCTGCGTTGCAACTCCATTGTGTTCACACTGAGGCCATGGTACTGTGCGCTTGGGCTTGGGGGGTGGGGGTGGTCAATCAAATATTAAGCCTTGATGCGAATGTAAATTCAGGTTAGGTATGGCTTAATGCGGACCGGATTAAAATACATATTAAAATATAAATTGCGTGATTCCCTCACCCCCCCCCCCCTCCTGGACGATGTGTAAACATTTATTCAATCGCTCTGTATGACTACTATGACTTCTGAATAAGCAGTAAGAGCAACTGGGTGTTTGTCGGTGTGTAAGCTATTAACGTATTACCCACACGGGCAGCGCTCCCGGCGAAATCTCTGCTCGGGATTTAAAACTCCTAAACCGAATTGACGAATGCATATCCTTCACGCTCCCAAGATTGTTATGAACTTCGAGCTGTATGGCCATTATAGATTGTTGGGGTAAAACGATGTAATAAAATACGGATATCCCTTTGATATACGAGACAGATTAGTTCCTCGATAGTTGTCCGTAAAGTGGAATTCCATATATCGAACCATATTTTGCCATTGACTTCCATGCTATGAAAGGAGATGCGTTTCGCGCCGAAAAATAAAATAAAAGCACACTTAAGAAATGCAGCAAGTCTAGCACATATTTAATGGCAAACGATAAATTGTTCATAAGCAATACTTGATTTTAAGCTTTCGTCACTGCAGGAATCTATACTCTTTGGTTCTTTCGGTAAAGTCACGTAGGTATAAAGTCACATTTATTTTACACCTACGTGACTTTACCGTAAGAACCATAGAGTATAATAATCAGTACGTCGTGAAATAAATAAATAAAAATGCCGCGCAGTAAAATGACAGAGCGCGATTTCCCCTCAAAATGTTGTTATTTAGAGATAAAAAAAAAATCCAGTAGAATTTAACCTAACGTATGTGGACTCAGTTCCCTAATTTATGATTGACCTTCGAGCTAAATTCCTTATATTTAGTTGTCGTGCAACGAGGGATGAGTGTACATCTGAATGGAGTATAAGCGCCACGTGGTACATCTAGAACCACACCAAGCCGCGTTACACCAAGTTCAGTAATCACATGAGTCGACCTGG